CCTTCAGATCTGACTTACCCTTGCAGGCACTTACACTAGCAAGACAGTACTGTGTTTGCACATGTGGGTCTGACTTTTTCCACTTACCTGTATGGCTTCTAGTTGCATTCATTTACCTAAAAAAGCCTCAAGTTTATCTTTCTTTATATCTGAGCAAAACTCCACTGGGTAAAAATACACACATCTTTTTTATCCATTCCTCAGTTGATGGGCATTTGCGTTGTTTCCAAGATTTAGCTGTGACAAATTGTGCTGCTATAAACATGGGCGCGCATAAATCATGTGGTATGTCTTCAGTTCATTTGGACAAATACCCAGGAGGGGAATAGCTGGCTTGAACGGGACTTCTAACCCTAGTTTTTTGTTTGTTTTGTTTTGTTTTGTTTTGTTTTGTTTTGTTTTGTTTTTTTGCGCAGAACCGGGGATTGAACTCATGCAGTTGCACTTGTTAGGAAAGCACTTATTCTACTGAGCCATCTCCTCAGCCCCTAATCCTAGTTTTTTGAGGAATCTCCACACTGATTTCCATAATGGTTGTACTAACCTGCACTCCCACCAACAGTGGAGAAGGGTTTCTTTATCCCCAGCATTTCTTATTGGTTGACTTCTTGATGATAGAAATTCTTTCTGGGGTACTTTTCTTGAGCATACACAAAAATTAAATCACATATATTTAATATATACAGGGTGTTTTGAGATACATGAATGTTGCAAAATAATCCCCACAATCAACTTAATTCACATATTCATCAGCTCACAATCCTCTAGCAAATCTTACCTTTCTCCACTTAGAGAAAAATAAAAACCATTTCACATTAACACAAGTGAAAAATACTCTTAAAAAGGAAAAATGTGGCTCAGCATCTAATTTTCAGAGACAAATTAAATCAGTTAAAGATCATTCTGGCGTGCCGTGCCCTGCCGGCCCCACCCCTGGGCATGCTGAGATGGCGATTGAGACTGGGCATGGTGGCACACACCTATAATCCCAGTGCTTGGAAGGCTGAAAACAGGAGAGTCACTACAAGCCCAGTCTATGTAGTGAGACCCTGCAGGCCCTGTGCACCCTGTACTACATACAGTAAAGAATAAAAGACCATTCTGGATGAGCCCTTCATATCCTCGTACATTAACACACTTTGGAAATTAAGAAATTAACAACGCTGTGTATATGGCATGTGACCTGCCGCTTCACTTAATGGTTTTTACTCATAAATTGATGTTAGTATCATGGCTGCTTAATGACATAATTAGTAACATTTTCTATCCATTATTCTCACTTACCTTGCCTCTGACCTCAGTTTATTTCTTTTATAATTCTGATTTTAAAAACTACATTTCAGAGCTTTCTCTTTCTTTTTTCTTTTCTTTTTTGGTACTGGGGATTGAACTGAGGACCTTACACTGGCCAGGCAGGTGCTTACTCTGCTGAACTACCTCCCCAGCCCAGACTGTTTCTGTTTTGAAAAGAAATTACAGACACAAAGCACTCTGGACCAGAACTGGCCATCCTCTTTGGTTGGCCATGTGGTCTAGTTTCCACAGGACCAGTAGTTGTTGGTGTCCAGGGAAGCAGGATGTGTCACAGCTAGAGGACCTTCTGAGGGCTGATGAGTGGAGGCCAGGGTCAGTGACTCAGCCACGACAACTGTGGTGTGAGGTGAGGAAACTGCCAGACTCCCACATCACCCAGTGCCGGTCCCAGTGACTGGCCACCAAAGGCATACATGGCAGGAGCGGTGTGTGCAGAGTAACAGCCTCGGGCTTGAGCCTGTACAGACCCAGAAAATGCAGTCTGGGTAGTATTTTATCATTCATAAAAGGGACAGGGAGTTGGTATCCAAAAATGCATAGATAAATCTTTTAAAAACACCAGCTCACATCTTGGGCACAAATGTCTCAAAAGAGACAGTTCACAACAGGCAAAATCTGAAGAGCCAACAAATAGGAACAGATGTGAAGGAGACAACACGGGCGGAACACAATGAGATGTGGTTTCCACTAACTTAAATTAGGAAGAAGAATGGCTGGCTGACTAGAGGGAAAGCAGGACTGTCGTGCAGTACCAGCGGAAGGACCAGAACCCGCCCCGCTGTCTCTTGGCAGCACAGCATGAACGCAGCCCAGAAAGTCTGTGTCTCTGTGCAGCATGTTTCGTGACACATTCTCTGAGGCACTAAATTAGAGGGAGCGATTTACTTGGCCAGCAGCAAAGGCAACAACATGATAAAAAATATATATAGGTGATGTCTAGAGCTCTATCAGAATCACAAGGAGTAGATGTTCACTTCGTTATCATTAATGGTTAAGTAAACACCTGGGGAACGAATAACCAGGGGAAATGTGTGCCTAAATTAATAAGACACTGAGTACTTTTTCAGAGGGGTGGACGCTGTTGGCATACCCACAAGACACTCGACGAGAAGCACAGGCTCTGAAATGGTACTGTTCCACCTGCTGGAATATGGTTGCAGGCAGCCAATCTGAGCATCAAGGGGTGATCTGTCGTTCAGCAGCAAGAGAATTGCTCCTGCTCGTGTAGCTCCTGGGGTCAAGGGGACGTGTGTGCACCAAGGGTCACATCAATAGTTCCCTGAGCTGGAAGCTGAGACCAGTACCAGGTCTCTCTCTCTCTCTCTCTCTCTCTCTCTCTTCACATCCCTGAACACCCCACAGCAAGGATTTTGATGTCAGTGAGGTGTCCTATCCACACTAACTCAAGGAAGGCATTCTGTGCCGCATCGTGGAGACATAGAAGAGTACTGCGGGTGGGGTGACCACGGAGCAGGAGCCAAGAGATCAGCATTCAGGGCGTTTATGTTTCCAAGTTGCTTTGCCATCCACTCTTGGGAAAAGGTGGGGAAAGAATCGGATGTGAGGAGATGGGGAAGTTGAATGGGGTTCTGACTCGGACCATCTCAGCCAGTACTTTGGGGAGATCTGGACCTGAAGTGACCATTCCGAGTGTGCCCCAGATGAGCAGAGATAGCCCAATATCTACACCGCAGGAGTCCCTAGATGTGGGCCAAATGGGCGGGGTCCTGGTGAGGCAGCTCTCTGCCTCTGGAAGAGCTGACAGCTGAAGGCCGTCCTCCTCCTGCACGGACACAGCTGTAAGGTTGCCAATAATGTACTCCAGTAGTTGGCAGAGAGCAAAAATTGGGATTCATTGTTCAATGCATACAGTTCCATTCCATCATGATGAAAACTTTTGAAGATGGGTGCTGGCAGTTATACAATGCAGTATCATTAAAGCCGCTTTATTATTCACTTAGAACAGTTTTACTTTACACATATTTAACCCAACTAAAAAAAAAAAAAAACTTACAAAAAAAAAAAAAAAACCTTACAAATGAAATAAACAGGCTGAAGATAGCTCTGTAGTCTAAGCCCCTGCCTGGCAAGCACAAGGTCCTGAGTTCAATCCCCAGCACCACGTACCGTGCCAGGCCTGGGACGCCAGGAGCGCTGAGCCGGCCACTGAAACTGGCATGGTGGTGCACACCTGTACTCCCAGTGCTGGGGAGGCTGAGACAGGAGGATCACCATGAGTCTGAGCTGTGTATCAAGACCTTGTATCTAATAAATAAAGAATTAAATTTTTTAAAAAATGAAATAAACATAGGCTGCATGGCTTCATGATGGCTAGATTTCCACTGCAAAGTTTTACATTTCATATTATAAATACTCCTTGTGTATAGATTTAGTCTTAATGGTTTTGTCTAACATTAAGATTCATCATTTCTCTTTGCACTTTCCATGGTAAGGCTTTGCTGGTTTTTTACTTTTTTAATCATTCTGAAACCGTTTGCTTTAGATGTTTCTCTTTTAATACAAATCTGATTTTAAAGTTTTTAAATGTCATACTGCTGTATATTACATGCATAGAGATGAGTGATATTTTGTTCACTCATTATTGCAAAGCTACGAATGGATCCCCAGCTTGGCTGCTGAGCTTCAGGCCCCGCAGCAACGACAAGTTGGTTAAACATCGGTATGGAGATAAACTGCCCGCTGCCAAAAGTGACAGCCAGATTCCATGAGGCAAGCTCTCGCTCCTATGCGAGCTGGGGAACCTGAGAAGTGGGTGTGTAGCCACTGAAGGCCAGAGTCAGGCATGGCAAGGTTCAGGGGAAGCCTGGGTCCGTGGCACCAGAGGTTGGCCAGATCTCTGTACCACTCGGTGTCATCCCAAAGGCTGTGGGAGCTGAACCAAGCAGAGCAGGGGAAGTGTCCTAAGCTGGCAGAGGGAGTAAGAGAGTCCCCAGCCTGAAACCACAGCCAGGTCCACACTGAGCAATGCATGGGGAGTTGGTGGGCACCCCGCTCCTCCTGGGCAGCCTGCGGGTGGGAGGGGTCCCTGGAGCACCCGCTGCCAGGAGAAGGCAAAACCCCAGGCAGCCGAGACAGCTTTTGGGCTTCCCTGGGGCCAGGGCCAGGCCCTGCTGTGATGGGGCAACACCTTCTGGCTTCCTGAGGGACCAGTTAGACTTTGTGACCCTAAGCAAATCCCCGAGAGGGCCTATTTCATATCAAGGCAGTAAAAAGCCGCTTCTTTGTGTCATACTTTTTGAGACTGTAGGTCCAAAAGGAAAGACAAAGTCTCCTGTGAGGCACCACTTCCTTATCCTACCACAGCAGGGGTGTGTGTGCGCGTGCATGTGTGTGTGTGCGTGTGCATGTGCATGTGTGCTCACTTCCTTATCCTACCACAGCAGGGGTGTGCGTGTGCGTGCATGTGTGTGTGTGTGTGTGCGTGCATGTGCGTGTGCGCGTGTGCTCACTTCCTTATCATACCACAGCAGGGGGAGTGCATGTGTGTGTGTGTGCGTGTGCTCACTCTCCCTCTACTGTACAGCAAGATTCCAGTTCAGAGACCACACCAGAGTGGCCTAATCTAAGGTGGTCATCTCCCAAAGTACCCATCTCTACATGAAATCGGCTCACTGTCCATGCACTAAGCAGCCGTGTTATACACGCTAAGGAGAAAAATCTCTGCGCTAGTACATGGTGGGAACCTGCACCAAGACGCCAGCAGGCGTGCCAGAGTCACAGCCACATGTGCAATGTGTTTCATAGTCACAGGAGCAGAGGACTAAAAGCATCCTGAGTGGCAAACATGCCACAGATTCCAAGGTGTGGCTCTGTGTATTATTAGGGCCAGGAGAAAAGAGTCCATGGAAAAGTTTGCTGCCAACAGCTGCTTAACACCCACTCCATGAGGCATAAGAGTGGTCCATCCTTACAACTTCAGCCAGATTCACAGGGCCAATGCTTTTGGCCTTCGTTTTCCTGGAAAACATTCTCAGGGGCATGTGTACACTACAAAGAGGAAGTGGAAAAATTAAAGGAAGATCCATTGGAATGCTATCAAGGGATGTTAAGCATGAACCGGGGTGCATAGGATTGTGGGGATCTAGTGGGGGCCCCAAGAATTGTAGGTCAGGGGAACAACAACAGCCAGAAGCCTTCACAGCACCCACAGACACAGACTCCTGCACCAGCGCTCCATGCTCAGGCAGGAGCTGATCCTGGGAGCCAAGAGCCCTGCGCTCTGTGCCCACCACTAGGAGTCCGGAGGCCTCAGCCAGCACTGCTGAGCCCTCAGCCTCCCATTTGCTAGGAAGATGGGCTGGACTCGGGCTCCCTGGTGAGGAATGGAAATCCCAGGTGAACAGAGCAGGGGTCAAGGGCTGCACCTGGGCGGGCCTCTGGTGGCTGCTGACAACTGCAGCCTGTGTCTGCACAGAAGCCCTTTTGGAGGAGGAGCGGCGTCTCTTCCCAGTAGGCAAAGGGCTGCAGAGGCTGTGCTCAGTGACTAAGACCAGAGGACCAGGGAGGCACCCGCCTTGCGCACCAGGCAGCTGCCTCAGGCCGCGGGAAGATCTCCTGGGAAAGTTCACCTTCCTCCTGGTGCTTGGCTCCTGCCTAGCCCGCCCCCAGGTTCCCCTGTGGTCCCCAAGCACCTGGTCCTGACCCCGTTTCCACAGCTCATAGCGCTCAGGTTGCAGGATACGCACAAAAGCATCCATGGAAAAGCTGACCCTTGCCTCCCCGCAGCTGCACTGAGAAGCCACTTTGCCATAATCGATCCACCGCAGGGTGGCAAAATTGATGGCCTCTGCGCAGTTGAAGCCATGGTTGAAGCCAGCATGGTAGCCATAGGGAAACGTCACCATAAACTCCCCAGCCTCCTGAGTCATGCAGCTGAAGGGGATCCCATTGTCCCTCAGCACTGTGGGTGAGATGAGAGCCACTTTGTGCCTCAGGAATGCCCCACAGACCCGGGAGCTGCCCGGGAAAAGCTCCCTGGCGAGCCGCTCCAGGCGCTGGCCGTGCTCTGGGGGCACCGCATACCAAGTTTTGGGCTCCCCGAAGTGCAGGTAGTTGATGCTGTAGAGGTCCATGTCCTCCGTGTGCCACGCAAACGTGGTCTTCCACATGCCAAAGTACAGGTACGGGGTGTTGACTCCCTCAATGACCACTCCACATTCCTGCTCCAACAGATCCAGAATGGTTCCCAGGCGCCCCAGGTTCCACTGCTTTGTGCTTTCATCAAACAAGGAGCCACTGATGTCAGCACCATAAGGTGGGGAATCATAGAGGCGATTCTTCCAGTACTTTCGCTCCAAATCTTCAAAATTGCGGTGTGGAGGAGCCTGATATTCTTTGCTGTTTGCCAGGTGCTGGTACTCCCGCACGGTCATGGGTTTCTTCCTCCTATGGTACTGGGTAAACACACCTGCCTGCCCGGAGACCACCTGCTGCAGCGGGGCGGGTATTAAGAGGCCACCGATGCTGTCATAGGACTCTCTGGCTCTCCATTCCTTGGGGGGAATGACCTTGGCCAGGCCAGCCCTGTGTGCACCCTGGGATTCCATGTAGGCAACGTATTTGCTGAAACCTGTGAACTCCTCCAAGGTGGGCCGGAAGGTCCTGACCATGCACCTGAGGCTCTGGGTACCAGGGTTGTCAGGCTCCATCCTTGCAGTGGAAGTGACACAGAGACAGTCGCCAAGGGCACCGCCACGTCCAGACAACTAGGGATGTTGGACGTAAACGCTTTCTTCTTCACTTCCACTTTAGTTTAGCTGGTGGTTAGAAACTCAGATTTGACCTTTTGATGAAGGAAATTCTATTTCCTACGTTGATAATTCACCACCAGCACTCTGTTCTGTTTGCAATAAGTCTGAAATAAATGAAAAACAGAGTTTTAAGTGTTTAATGCAGAAATGGAGAAATTAACATGAGAAACAAATTAAAGTCTAAATTCTCACGTATTCAACAAAAGCCATAACAGCTCACACCTGTCAGGTGACAGAGAGGATCATCCCCTCAGAAGACCACTAGAAGTGAGAAACCCACTCTGGGAGAAAGCAGGGGACAGCAAGGAGGCCACTGGGCTGCACCAGGGAGGCAGCAGGCTCTAGGAGGGGACAGTAGCTGATTTAATCCAGACATGGTAATGGAAGCCCTAAATCATGCTGGAATAAATATGAAAGAATTGAAATGATCCCCCGCATGCTGTGGGATTATAGCAGAGTGAATGCAAAATCAAGTGCAACCAGGGGCTGAGGAGATAGCTCAGTAAATAAGTGCTTGCCCGGCAAGTGCAGGGTCCTGAGTTCAATCCCCAGTACCACACAAAAAAAAAAAAAAAAAAAAAAGAAAGAAAGAAAGAAAGAAAGAAAGAAAAGAAAAAAAAATCAAGTACAACTGAAATGACAGCACCTATAGGAAAACATAGAAGTTGAATTATGGAATTATCAGTGGATCAAAACCGCATCAGTGAAGCAGATTGAAGTTCTTAGAATAAAGTCATACGGGAAGCAGAGCACACCACACCTATGACAGCCAAGGAGAATGGTAACCGGGTGCATGTTTGTAGCTATAACAGTACCTATAAGAGGGTAGCATGGTGCCGAATAATGGAACGATGCGTACTTGGGTTCTAGAAAAGCAGAAACAATCTGAATCTGAAGCTAGTAGAAGCAAATATTAGACCAGAAATCAATGAAATTATTGGCCAGGCATGGGGGCACACGTCTATGATCCCAGCACTCAGGAGGCTGAGGCAGGAGGATCCCTTTGCCTTTCATTAAGGCCAACCTAGGTTCCCAAGTGAGTTCAAGACTAGCCTCTTCCATAGAGAACAGTGCACCAAAGCCTTCGTTCCTCTAAAGGATAACCAAGATTGACAACACCTGTGATACAGGTCACTGGAACAGTGCTTCCCTGGAAAGCTCAAAGTCCTCAGTTTGATTCTGGGTACCAAAAAAAGATTGATAAAGATTTAATCAAAGTTACCAAAGCAAGGAAAGAAAAAAAAAATATATATATATATAGCAATGCCATACAATTAGGAAGTGAACAGTCCTTCTAGCATGGTTTCACACTCTTGTGATCCCAGCACTAGGGAGCCCAGACAAGAGGATTGCTACAAGTCCCAGGCCAGCCTTGGCTACAGAGGGGCTTCAAGGCCAACCTGACTATATAGGGGAAGACTGTCCCCCATGATCCAGCCCCCCAAAAACAATAAGCTTCCAGTGTGTCAGCAATAAACTTCTTCAGAAAGAAATCAGGAAAACCATCTTGTGCACAGTAGCTTCCAAAAACAGACAAACCAAAATCTTCCCAGAGGTTAACAAGCCCAAGGGAGGGAAAGACCCCAATGCTGAGTTACTTTTCTCATCACTGAAACCAAATATCTGACACCCAAATAAAGAAGGAATTTATTTGGCTCACATTGCGGAGTTTTCAGTCTGTAGTCAGCTAACTCCAAGGTAAGTTGATCCAACAGACAGGCATCAGAGAGGAGCTGGAGTCCCGGGCAAAGGTCGGCAGGCAGAGGCAGCAGGCAGTGAAGCAGCAAGCCACAAGCCACACCTGCACCCCTCTCGCTCCCTTATATCTGGGCCCAGGATGCCTACCCTTAGGGTGGACAGCACTCATGGGAGGGTGGGTCTTCTCATTACCCACTCCCAGACTTGGACCTATCCATCTCACAGTCTTCATCCCAGCATTACACACTTAATCCCAGCATCTCCCCTGCAATACCCCTCTGCCATGCCACCCTGCCTGGCAGCAGCCCATTACAGACCGAATCCTCTCCCAAGTGTGAGCCAAATAAACCTGTTCCTCTTTAATTTTGGGTGTCGGGAATTTTGTCCCAGGGATGAGAAAAGTAGCTAAAGCAGAATTTAATGTCAGAGCCAGGCTTGATGACACAAACCTATAATCCCATCACTTTGGGGGCTGAGGCAAGAGGATCAACCAAAGTCCAGGTGAGCCTAAACTACACAGTGAGTTCAAGGCCAGCATGTACAAAATAGTGAAATCCCATCTTAAATAATATTAACAATAATGATAATGATAAATTAATCAATTAAAATAAATAAACAACTCAGGTGCCAGCACAGTGGGTCCTGACCATGCCACTCAGCAGCCTTTGGAAGAGGGTTGTGCGAGTTTAGAAAGGTACAAATATGCCAGCTGAAAAGTAGAACTGGAATGCTATAGGGCATTCGGTAGGAGCTACTGCTCAGCATACAGAAGACCAGAGAGTCAGTAATGACCGAGCTGGGAGGGTCCTACTAGGAAGAGGGACTGCTCTGGCTTTGGGGATCCGGACAGTGTGTGTCCGGCAGAAAGTGTCTCTGCATTTTGCTCCTATCCAGAGACTTTGCCAGAGGCTCAGATGACAGGGGCAGACTAGTTAATCTGGCAGAAGAAATTTGCTTTGGCTCTTGTTTTCTTTCATTTTGCTGCCTCTTTGATACAGGACCTCCCTGCAGTCCTGACTGGCCTCGAGCTCGCTGTGCAGCACACGTGGCCGCAGCCTGGCCTGCTGGAGCCTCCTAAGTGCTGGGATTGCAGGAGAGCACGGCAAGGCCCAGCTCAGAAATTTCAAGTCCATCTAAATTTGAAGGGGCAGCATGGCTGTTGTTGGGGGCTTTTAGCCAGATTTCTGTTGAGAATCGAGAGCAAGGAGCCCAGGAGAATGATTGCAACCATTTTGAGTTTGGCTAGAAATGAATTTCTGGCAAAACCGTGGACTGCTGCAAAGGCAGAGCAGAGGAGATCTCGACTGCTGAGGAGCAATGGGAGAGCAGCCAGACGGCCTGAGTGCAGCCACAGAAGCAGCAGGCCTCCTCCCTGTGCAGCCTCAAACTGTGTAAGGACATGCTTCCCTGTGCGAAGACAGCCGCAGAGAAGTATGTGCCAGGATGGCAGCAGCCTCGCCAAGCTGTTTCTAAGGAAGCGGTTCAGAGGCACTTGGCCCCCACAGCCAAGTTAAAAAAGAAAAGTTTTCTTTAGTTCACTGTTTGTAGAGGTTTCAGTCCTTCCCTGGCTGGCTCCAAGGCAGACTCCTTCATTTCAGTTCATGGGGAGGAAAAAAGCAAAAGGAGGAGGAGTGAAGCACCTCTTCTGAAGGTGGTTCCAATCCAAATGTCAGCAGTCACCCACCCTTAATCCCAGTACCTTTAATCTCAGCGTTGCACTAGGAATCAATCACACATTCTAGATACTGCTACTTAAAAAAAAAAATTATGATCACATGAGGCTTTGGGGGGACATCTAGACACAAGCCATAATGCTTCCCCTCTGTCATGGCCTTCTTCATTTTATCGGACTGGGCAGACATGCCTGTGTGACCAGAGACCACAGTTGTAGGAGTGCGTAGCTGTTAAGTGGTCCCGGATACTGTAGGTATAAAATAAATATCTGTGAGGTCGTGTCATTCAAATAAAAGGCTGAATGATGTGAACGTGGAGAGAAAAGGCAACACTTTCTGGTGGGGTTCTAGATAAAGGAAGTTTGGTCCTCTGCTGCCACTGCTTTATCTACATAGACTCGTGCGTATCTATTCTAATGGATTCATATAAATGAATCATAGTTGTCTATTCTAATGTTTTCTGTGTATTTCCTTTCACATTGATATTGTCCATGAGGAAACTGATTCATTGAGATGAGGAATTATTGGAGTCAGACATGCAAACAAAAATCTCCAAGATGGCTCCTTGCCAAGCATGAGAGGGGAGGGCTGAAAAGAACAGGGCAGGGAAAGCAAAGAAACAGAGAAGGGGGGGCATAGTGACTCACACCTGTAATCCCAGCACTTGGGAGGCTGAGGCAGGAGGATCATTTGAGTTCGAGACCAGCCTGAGCTACAAAGTGAGCTCAAGGCCAGCCTGAACTGCACAGTGAGACCCTGTTTCAGAGAGAGAGAGAGAGAGAGAGAGAGAGAGAGAGAGAGAGAGAGAGAGAGAATGTAATGTTGATGTTGGAGACCAGGTGGCAAAGCTGACTGGGAAAATGAATGGGATCTGCCAATTACAAGACCCAGGGCAAGGCCAGGACCCACGTGTAGAAGTCTCGTGGCTCCCAGGAGCTGTGGGCAGCGTGACAGTAGACAGCCCAGCAGGTGAGCCGCAGTTCTGCTCCTGCACAGCCCAGTTTCTCACATGCAGCTTGTAATTTCGCTTTTTGCTTTTAATCTCTTCTTTCTTTGCTCAGCCTGCTTGCTCTGCAGAGCTCATTTCTCTTGTGCTCATTTAACCCTTTCAAATCAACTTGTGGTACCCTTCTTGACTCGCCTGCTCCAGTGCTTGGTTCTAGGCAAGAAGTACCTGATTTTTAAATTTTATTTATTTATTTTTGTTTTTGAGAAAGGGTCTTGTATGTAATGCAGTGTGGCCTTCAACTCGTTTATTTAGCTCAGGCTGGCCTCGAACTCATGGCAAGCCACCTGCCTCGCTGGGCGATTTCAGACATGTGCCACCACACCCAGATGAGATTCTTTTGTTGTGGAGTCATTTCTCAAAGAAGTGCCATATAACAGTTTCTGTAACGAACTTGACTGTTTCAGCTGAAATGGACAGACGTGTATACAGAATGGAAGCCCGTGTCCGGTCCATTTCTTGTTGCTACAGCAGCTTTCCTAGGGCTGGGACCTCTATACAGGAGAGACGAATGTACTTCT